CGTAGATGGACACCACGTCGTGTTCAAAAGGGCGCCATGGTCACGGAGGTCGTGGACGGCCCCTACAGCAGGCGCAAAGGCCGCACTGTCCACGGCGGACAGCGGGAGGTGCATGCGTCTACCAGGGACTATTGCCATTACCTGTTCACTGCTTAAAAACAAGAAGAAATACTAAAAATAAGGAAGGGGAAAATCTACTTACGTCCGCCAGCTGGTCGAAGCGCCCGAAGAGCTCGTTGAGGAGTCTGACGAGCTCCTGCGCCGTGCACTGCGACGCCAGGACTGTGAAGCCCACGATGTCCGCGAAGACCATGCTGCAAGGCGAGGAACAAACGGTTTACTCCATGCTGCGTCCCCAGAGAACGGCTCTGAGGCTGGAACCAGAATGCCTGAGGTGACGATATGGTGGACTATTCCGGGAAATTTACCTATACTTTAATTCAGTAAACGAGAAAGCCCTGATCTCTTTTTCCCTGGTGAGATTAATGCTATTTTCTTAATCTATTTCTCTCTTAATCCCTTTTATGGACTGTCGGAACAAAGAGAATCACATTTTCTTTGAAGAAATTGTCTGCATTGCATCTATACACGTATCGACATATATCTATATCTATCTTTCTCTATATTAATGTATATATATATACATATCTATCTATATATATACACATATATATGTATACATACATACATACATACATACATACATACATACACACACACACACACACGCATACGCGCGCGCGCGCGCGCACAAACCTAAGCAACCGCCCAGGGCCAAGCACGCACCGTCCCCAAAGCGAATGACTGGCCCCTCGCCGCGCGTGAAAGGGACCTCGCATCACGCTCTGGGCCCGAAGTCATTAAGATCAAAATACCTCCCACTCTGTCCGGCCTCTTTGCAGTCATTTATAACTGTTGGAATATTTATATCGCGCGAGGGAAGGGGTCCGGGGCGGGAGACACCGATCTGTCGCAGGGGCCGTCCTGGGGCGTCGCGCACACGCCACGGTGAACGGGCTGGGCTGTCACTGGCCGGTTATTCTAGTCGAAGGCATTAATCATAACCATAGCTAAATTGGGAAATCATTTCTTAATTACCCTGACCAACTGCACGGCCACCAGCCAGCTTTCATATATTTGATATTTGAACTCAACATCATAATAGAAAGGCTATTACAAATTTAAGATATAACATGGTTATATTATCTACTGCACCATATGACCAACCACCTCGTTCTTCAACTATTCACGAGTAAATTGACAAATTGCTCACTTTATTCCTAATTAATTTCATCAGACCATTCTTAAAACTCACGCAAGGCGGCACGGACGTGGCAATCTGCGATATAGTATCCGCGTTCGCTTGCATGATGCAGCTTTAGTTCAGTTTAGTCCTTATTTACCACCCTGGCTGACTGCACAGGCGTGGGCAAGCTGTGGTACATTTGATGCATGGTCACACCTTATATAGTAGTATTACATTGGAAATTTAAACTACAATATTATTACGATCTATACTAAATCATTTAAAAGAAAATAACAATCACACAGAAATTTATCTATTCATCTAACAGGCAGGCGTATGGCTTGGGCACACGTACTGAAAGCTGGCAAATCCTAACCGTAGATTTGCTGGAGATCATTTAGCGCGCTGCGCCTTACGCACCAAGGAGAACTACATCAAATAACAGTTCGTTAGAATGTCAGGTAATTACCGATTTCCCATTAGCTTAAAATCATTTCCGTTTCCGAAAGCACAAACGAGAAGGGAGAAGGATGCCGCAGAGAAAACACGACAGCAACAAAACAAAAACAGGAAAAAAACACGTCATAAACAAAAACACGATATATTTGTCAAGGATTATCAACTGACAGTGATCTGTGATGATGGCAAGGAGACCTCTCGTGCCCATGGCCTGCGCCAGAGCCAATAAAAACACGAGCCCATCAAGCAGGTACGCAGGCAGATATAGGCGAGGATGACGGGCCAACATGACGCCCTCCCCGCCAGCTGCCCAGGAAGACGCTCGGGCTCCAGCCGTGGCACTCACCCCACCCGACGCCTGGGGCACCGCGGAACCACAACCAGAAACCGTGACTCCAAAGTGAGACACTGATAGATACACGCACTATCACCAGGCCTAAATGCCCTCAAGAACCTTTCTGTGTCGCCTTCATCTCCTGTCCCAACTCTTAACTCAAATGCGGACACATCTATATTTCAAAGATATTGGTCGCTACAAGGAGAGAGAGGGTGTGTAGGGGGAAAAAGAAGGGGGAAGAAGAAAGACATGGAAAGAGAAAGAGAAGGAGGGAGGGAGAGAGAGGGAGAGAGGGAGAGAGGGAGGGAGGGAGGGAGGAGGGAGAGAGGGAGAGGGAGAGGGAGAGGGAGAGGGAGAGGGAGAGGGAGAGGGAGAGGGAGAGGGAGAGAGGAGAGAGAGAGAGAGAGAGAGAGAGAGAGAGAGAGAGAGAGAGAGAGAGAGAGAGAGAGAGAGAGAGAGAGAGAGAGAGAGAGAGAGAGAGAGAGAGAGAGAGAGAGAGAGAGACAAATTTCCGAATTCATCTATAGGTGTCCCTGCATGCATGGCGCATCACCACCACGAAATGTTGAGCCGGTCCCTCGACTTCTAGAATAACATCTATGAAAAAGGCCGCCTCGCCTGCGCCTTCGGGGCATCTCGCCCACACCTTCGACCGGCTCTTTGTATTCCGGATATTTTCTCATTCCTTCTCGGCGACCTGAAGGAATACCGTTCGATAACGATGATCAAGAAGAGGAAGAAGAGGAGAGGAGAGGAGAGGAGAGGAGGAAGAGAGGAGAGGAGAGGAGAGGAGAGGAGAGAGAGGAGGATGAGAAGAGAGGAGAGAGAGAGGCAGAGAGGAGAGGAAGGAGAGAGAGAGAAGAAGAGGAGAGGAGAGAGAGGAGAGGAGAGAGGAAGAGAAGAGAGGAAGAGAGGAAAGAGGAGAGGAGAGGAGGAAGAGAAGAGAGGAGAGAGAGAGGAGAGGAGGAAGAGAGAGAGGAGAGGAGGAAGAGAGAGAAGAGAGGAGAGGAGAAGGAAGGAGAGGAGAGGAGAGGAAGGAGAGGAGAGAGAGGGAGGAGAGGAGAGAAGGAAGAGAAGAGAGGAGAGGAGGAAGGGAGGGAGAGGAGAGGGGAGAGGGGAGAGAGAGGAGAGGGGGGAGAGAGGGAGGGAGGGAGGGGTGGGAGAGAGAGAGAGAGAGAGAGAGAGAGAGAGAGAGAGAGAGAGAGAGAAGAGAGAGAGAGAGAGAGAGAGAGAGAGAGAGAGAGAGAGGGAGGGAGAGGAGGAGGAGGAGAGAGAGAGAGAGGAGAGAGAGAGAGACGAGAGAGAGATATAATATATATATATATATATATATAATATATATATATTATATATATATATATTATATATATATTATATTAGATATATTATATAAATATATTATAGTATATATTATATATCTATATATTAATATATATTATATATATATTATACTATCACGACACAATAACAGCACATATATATATACGCACACGCAATCACGCACACGCACAACAACATATAATGTGTGTGTTGTGTTGTGTTGTGTATGTGTGTGTGGTGTGTGTGTGTGCGAGTCACGTACCCCGAGTCGCCTTCTGCACTCTCCAGGGGGCGAGAGACACGACAATGTCGGCGTCAAAATCCGAGCGACCCGGCGGCGCTGCCCGCCCGGGCCGACGGCGGGGCGAAGGGCCAGAGGGGACACAGGCGCAGGCAATAAATATGAATATTTTCACACGCAGACGATTAGCCCGTCGAAAATGTTCTCTTTCTCTCTCTTCACTTTATTCTTCCTCCCTCTCCTTATCTTCCATCTCTTCCTCTTCTCCTCCTCTCCCTCCCTTCTCTCTCCTTTCTCCTCTCTATCTCCCACTCCCTCTCCTTCTCCCTCCCTAACAAAAAAAGGAATTTGATCCGTCTCGCCAATCCAGTGCGCCGGGAACAGCCAACCCCATTGGAAAAAAAAAACATCAGAAATAAACAACGACTCCCTGCCCCCCTGGCGGTGCGGTCCCGATAAATGTCCTCCTTCAGCGATGCTAAAAATAGCCCTAGTGATGTCATGCTTCCGAACCATCGCGAAGCGGCGAGAGGAGACGCAGAGTGGGCTGCTTTTTTTTTCTTTTTTTTTGGGGGGGGGGGGGGCACAGAGTTCTACAGGGGGCGACGTCATAAATAAGAACGATATAACTCGAAAGTCCGTAAGAACAATACCAACTCAAAAAGTCCAGAAGAACAATGTAACTGAAAAAGTCCCGGGAATTTATCACAAAGGGCAAAACCGACGCTACTTTCTCCCTTCCAAGCCATAAACCCCAATAGCACTTTGGGATGGAACTGCAATAAAATGGCGCGCGCGCGGGTGAGCATACAGTCCGTTCATACATGTCTGTCTATGTATGTGTATATAAACATACACACACACACACACACACACACACACACACACACACACACACACACACACACACACACACACACACACACACACACACACACACACACACATATATATATATGTGTATATATATATATATATATATATATATATATATATATATATATATATATATATACGTATATACACACACAGATACACACACATTACATATATTATATATGTGTATGCGCGCGCGCGTATACATAGATATAAAACACACACCTCCACCTGCCAATCACTCCTCCCCGCAAGCCTCCGCGGGCGTGATATCAGCGCCACGGCAGCCAAGGTCCCATCGACGGGGCCGCTGCCACCCGCGCTCGCTCCAACGTGAATTAAAAAGAAAGAGAAAAACGCTGCCCTTGCCTTCTCCCTCTTGGAAGCGCATTCCGTTTCCCTTTTTATTTTCCTCCCATCAAGCAGTTGGCTGAAGCCCTGACACTTGTCACCTCAAGCCCTAAGTGTGTAATATTTAGAGTGGAGAGGCAGGGAAGGGGCGCCGTGTAAGCAAGCCGGCACGCGGGCTCTGTAAACATCACATGTTTACCAAATGTTAACTTGAATGATTTTTTTATTATCACAAAGGGATTCAACAGCTGTGATAGCTAAGACCCACTCTTTTTAAATCCGTACGTTTTTTTTTCTCTAAACAACGACAATTCTATTATAGTATTTGGTTAGTTTGAAAGTGGTCGCTTGGCGGGGCAGGGGACAGGGGGGCAGGGGGGCAGGGGGGCAGGGGGCCAGCGTTAAAAGCACGGACTCCTGTGGTCCTCAGTGAGGAACACTTTCACGAATGGCCTGTAGCGGGGGGGGGGGGGGGTAGTCTTCCTGTACCTGTGAATTTTGCATAAAACCAAACCCAATATAAGTTCTTACCACAACAAATGCTGTTAACAAGTGATGAATCAACACAAGAGACAAAGAGCTTACTGACCTAACATTCTCGTGTCGCTGGATGTAGATCTTGTGGAATTGTCTCTCCACGGGTTTGATGATGTCGGCCTTCATTTCCATGGCCACGTGTTGTGGCAACACCGACAACAGCAGCCGCTCCTGAAACACACACGAAATAATCACATTATATGCTAAATTCCCGGAAACAAGAGCCGTTCCTCCAACACATAGCATTGCCTGAAAATACAAGTTGTGACAATATTAGAAAGATGTGAAAAAGGATAAATTGAAAGCATAACCGCATAAGCAACGCCATGGAGTAGATTACACCGAATTAATTCAGTAATTAATTATCCTCACTGGATGGTAATGATAATAATGACATCAGCAAATTATCACACAACATACGGCCGCGTGACACCTCGTCGTTAACGTAGACTACCTACGTGAACATATGCGACGTGGCTGTAAAAAATTCATAACACTAAACGACGCAAAAACAGCGGTAATTGCATTCGCTGAAAGTTTTCAACAAAATAATGGAAGGGAAAACAAAAGCTGAACATTTTTCTTATTTACCATTCAAGGTGAGTGTGTGTGAGAGTCCAAGTCTAAGTTATACAAGAAAGAGAGAAAATGATTCGAGTGAACAAATAAGAGAATGGCTGAAGGAATGAAGGAATGAGTGAAAAAGGAACGAGAGCGCGGTCCTCCCTGGCTCCGTCTCTCCGGCTCTTTCCTTTCTCCACGCTCTGATTCCCGCCCTTTTCGAAACAATCGATCCCAGCGATATTCGCGCTGCATGAATCCCGTACCATGAATATCCTGATGCGTGGTCGCAGCCAGCATGTGATCCCGAACTCATAATTACTTCTAAGCCTCTCTTATATTTAGCCTCCAGGTATTTACGTCCCGATGGCGTTGTGCGCATAACACACATCTTTGCAGTGACGTCATCTGGCTACAATACATCAGCCGCAAGCCAAAACTAACCCAGAAATGAAAGGGAGCGAGAGAAAAGAATTATTCCTTGACAATAAACGTCAGAAGAAGCGTTGTTGGTGCCGATGTCGCTGGCAAGATGTAATAGCATTATTAACAGATGGCTCAACAAGGCAATGGGGCGAGTTCTAATGCGGAATTCCACGATGCTGGACGGCCACCTGCGTCCAAGCATTTCCTTATTTCCGTTTTTTAAGCATAACATGGCCGTCACAACAATGAGTTCTATGAACCAAAATATCAAAAGTGAGTGACTGTTTCCATGCGCGTGCCCGAGAGTGCGTTCGCATGTGCGTCGGGCGCCGCCGCCATTACCCGAGATGAAGAAGGAGAGAACGTACCCAGATATTTACTCGACTCGCGTGCAAACATCACTGAAGATCAAGGCCTCGCCAAGAACACCACTCGCCAGCCTCGCCTCCCTGACGTCACGGCAGACTTCCTTCCAGTCCTCTCCTGGCCTCCCCTCCCTCTTTGTCCCTCCCACCTCCCTCCTCCTCCTCCTTCTCCCCTCCTCCTTCTCTTCCTCTTCTTCTTCTTCTTCTTCTTCTTCTTCTTCTTCTTCTTCTTCTTCTTCTTCTTCTTCTTCTTCTTCTTCTTCTTTTCTTTCTTCTTTCTTCTTCTCTTCTTCTTCTTCTCCTTCCTCTCCTCCCCCCCTACCTTCTCTTCACCTTCCTTCCCTTACGCGACACGTAACCAAGAGAGCGGCGGACTCCAAAGAAGACTCTAATGACACAAGTAAATAAGGATGAGGAGCCGCCGTCACTCCCTAGAGCTGGAGCCAAAGGAAACTCCATCAATCGGTTTAACACGTCCTTACTTGACACGGATCGCGCATTTGGACTCGTACAAGAGAGAAGCCTTTTAATCGTCACTCATTTATTTGCGCTTTCTTCGTGTTGTTCGTTTTCAAAAAAAAAAAATGGAGACACTAAAGGGGGGGCAGGAGAAAGGAAGATGGAATGGGGGAGAGAGAATGACATGAGTGAAACTGAAAATAATAATACATAAAAAAGAGAAAGGGATAAGTAAAGAAAACATTGATGGAAATATGAGAAACAGCTGTAAAATAAAAATAAAACGAAGACAAAAGGTGAAATGACAAAACGGAAAAAAATACAAGCAACAACTAGAACAAAAGGGGAAAATCCACGAGACAAAGAAATACAGAAGGAAGCAGGGAGGAAGAAGAAAGGAGGGAGGCCAACGAGTCTGGATTGGAAGTGACCCGCTATCCATCACACACTCCTCCCCCTCACCAGATCGCCGCACGAAACGCCTGCACACGCCCACGCCTCGCGCCGCTCGTTCTCTCTTGCCCCCTTTGGTCGCTTCTCTCTCTCTCTCTTCCTCTTTCTCTCCCGCTCTCGCTCTTGTCTCTCCTCTTTTCTCTCTTCTCTCTCTCATCTCTCTCTCTCTCTTTCTCTCTCTCTCCCTCCTTCTCTCACTCTCTCTCTCCTCTCTCTTCTCTTCTCTCTTCTCTTTCCTCTCTCTCTCTCATCTCGTCTTCTCGTCTCTCTCTACTCTCCTCTCTCTCCTCTTACTCTCTTCATCTCTCTCTCTCTCTCTTCTCCTCTCTCTCTCTCTCTCATCTCTCTCTCTATTCTACTCTCTCTCTCTCTCTCTCTCTCGCCTTATTTCCTCCTCTCTATATCGTTCTCCCTTTCGTTCCCCTTCCCCCCCCCCCTCCCGTACCCTCCCCCCCCCCCTCCCACCTTCTCCCTCTTTTCTTCTCGCCCTCCCCTTTTCACCTCCTACCCCCCTCCCCTTCCCTCTCTCTCTCTCTCTCATCTTTCTCCCCTCCCTCCCTCTCTTTCTCGCTCTCCCTCCCTCCCTGCCCCCTTCCCTCTCTCTCTCTCATTCTTTCTCACTCCCTGCCCCCTTCCCTCTCTCTCTCTCTCATTTTCTTTCTCCCGCCTTTCTTTGGCTAGCGCCTCTCCCCTCCCCCCATTCCCCTTTCCTCCGTCTCCGTCTTAGTACTTCGCATACGGCCGACGGTGTTTTTGTTTTTTGTTAAATATCAAAGGGATGACGAGCGACCGGAAGGACGCCTCATCTCTCCTTTCCTCGCTATGGCTTCGCGTCCGCCGGGCCTTAACGACCCTGCTCTTGGCCTTCCTTACGCGGCCCGCCGGGCCGGCCCAGATTTAGATCACCTGGGAGGAGGCAGGAGGGAGGAGGAAAAAAAGGGTAAGGAAGGAAGGAGGAGGAGGAAAAGAAGGGTAAGGAAGAGGAGGATGTGGGAAGAGGAAGAGGAGGAGGAGGAAAAGAAGGGAGTAAGCGAGGAGGAGAGGAGGAGGAGGAGGAGGAGGAGAAGGAGCGGAAGGAGGGAGGAAGACGACGAGGTGGGTAGCAGAGGGGAGGAGGTGGAAAAGGGGCGCGGGAAATATGCGATTGGAAGAGGGAAAAGGAGCAGAGGAGCGGAAGCTGGGAGAAGAAAAAAATCAGAACACAAGAAAAAATCGAACAACGGCGACGAACACACCCCCCCCCCCCCCAGCCCGGATCGTTCCGCCGATAACTGGTTCCTCCCGAATCCTGGCGCAGCTGGTCCTCATCAGCGCCTGCATCGCCCTCCACTCCCGCCCTTCGCATTCTCCCTCTCCCTCCCCGCCCCACGCGCCACACGAGCGTCTTCATTCACGGCTGCTTCTCCGCCCGCGCCCCCGTCGCGCGCCCGTGATCCTTATCGTTTTATTTTATCTTTCCTCCTTTTCTTAAATCATTATTTTGCTTCTTCCCCTTCTTCTTCTTCTTCTCCTTCCCCTTCAGAGACCCCCTCTTTCCCTCGACCGAGCGACGCCCCCTCCCCCCCCCCCCCCTCCCCGATCCTCCCCAAGGCAATGGCTGACACCGACAGACGTGGTTTCCGCTCCACTTCCCTTCGCAGTGATCCTCTCCCTCCCTCACCCACCTCCTCCTGCGCCCTTGCGCCCTCCACTCCCTCCCTCTCTCCCTTCCTCCTCATCCATTCTTTCCAGGTACCTTGTCCCGCCTCTATCCCTCGCTATCTCCCTCCTCTCTCTCCTTTTCCTTTTCTCCCGTTTCTGTCTCTCTCCATATCTCCCTTCTCTCTTTTTTCTCTAACGCCCTGCCCTTTTCTCCTCTCCCTCTCCAGTCCCACGTCCCCAGACACCCCCCTTCCTCCCTCCCTTCGTCAGCACAAGCAGCAATAACAAAGCTAAAAGATACGATTAACAGTTAAAAAAAGAAAGAAAAAAAACGCTCACCATTAGACGGAAATGTTCCCCGTTTTCCCCGGGCCCCCCGGCGTTCCCTTCCCCCTCGGCTTTCCTTCCCCCTCGGCGTTCCCTTCACCCCCCTCGGCGTTCCCTTCCCCCTCGGGCGTTCCCCCTCCCCCTCGCCGTTCCCTTCCCCCTCGGCGTTCCCTTCCCCTCGGCGTTCCTTTCCCCCCCCTCGCCGTTCCCTTCCCCTCGCCGGTCCCCCTCGCGTTCCCTTCCCCCTCGGGCGTTCCCTTCCCCCCGCGTTCCCCTCTCGATTCCCCCTCGGCGTTTCCCTTCCCCTCGGCGTTCCCGTTCCCCTTCGGCGTTCCCTTCCCTTCCCCCTCGGCGTTCCTCCCCTCGGCCGTTCTTCCCCCTCGCTTTGCGTTCCCTTCCCCCTCGCCGTTCCCTCCCCTCCCCGTTCCCTTCCCCTGCAGTTCCCTTCCCTCGCGTTTCCCCCTCGGCTCCCCTCCCCTCGCGTTCTCGGGCGTTCCCCCTTCCGTTCCCTCCCCCTGGCGTTCCCTTCCCCCTCGGCGTTCCCCTCCCCTGGCTTCCCCTCCCCTCGGCGTTCCCTTTCCCCCTCTCGTTCCCTTCCCCCTCGTGCGTTCCCCTCCACCCCTCGCCGGATTCCCTTCCCCCTCGCTTCCCCTTTCCCCCCCTTCGGCGGATTCCCCTCCCCCTCGGCGTTCCCTTCCCCCTCGGCGTTCCCTTCCCCCTCGCCGTTCCCTCCCCTCCGGCGATTTCCCCCCCCTTCGGCGTTCCCTCCCCCTTTCGGGTTCCCTTCCCCCTCGGCGTTCCCTCCCCCTCGGCGTTCCCTTCCCCCTCGGCGTTTCCCTTCCCCCTCGGCGTTCCCTTCCCCTCGGCGTTCCCCTTCCCCCTCGGCGTTCCCCCTCCGCTGTTCCTTCCCCTCGGCGTTCCCTCCCCCGGCGTTCCCTT